CACGCGTGCCAGGCCCCGCGTTACCCGGGCAACCGGCCGGGTAGCCACTCGCGCCCCCTCCCTGCCCCTTCCCACGCGCGCTTCTTGGGGGTGCCCCCTTCCCAAGCCCCCGGGCCCCTCCCACCAACGGTCACCGGGGGTCCTGGCAGAGGCAGGGGGCTGGGGGAAACGGAGAGGGGTCTGCGAGGAGACAGGACCTGTGAGACAGGCGGGACCCGGTGGTGGCACCCCGACAAGCAGAAAGAGGGGAAGGAAAATGAGGCAAAACTTGGGGAGGCTGCTCAGGAGGAGCAGGGTGGGGTTTGAAGAAAAGGGAGCCTGCAGTACTGGAAGCCCCTCTCCCGCGAGGAAGCAGCAGCCGAAATGGGCGCTGGAAGGCTCCCGGGTCCCTGGAGCCGGACTCAGAAGGGAATTCCAGGGCAGAGGCTGCAGGGGCAGTCTGGAACAGGAGGGGGCTGGGCCCCGGAGCCCGCAAGCGCTGAATGGACCACACCAAGAGCCAAAGGGGCAGGTGCGGGGAGAGGCGCAGTTTTTCTTGGCACCCTCTCCGCTCCCAGTCCCAAGGCTGACGTCCCCATCCTTTCTGCAGCTCCATCGCCCACTGTCACCCCTCAGGGCCTTAAGGGTGTGCAGGTACTCGGCTGGGGTCTGAGCAGCAGGCAATGGGTGTGAGTGGGGGAGAGCAGCATTAATGTCTGGTAACTGTTGGGGTTTCTAACCCAGGCCTCTCTGGACCTCCAGTGGCTATTCTGGGCCTGGCCAGATTGGGTATTCCGGGAGACCTGGGAGTCCTGGAACTTGCTCTCCAGTCACTGGAGCCTCAGCCCCACCCTGAATCTGGGCTGCAGCCGCTGGTGCTGCCCATGGCCAGGGAGGAGCCAGAGCCCAGGAGCCACACAGGCTCGAGCCCAGAGCCCAGAGCCCCGCTGGGACTGGCTGGGACTGGCACCAGGCGCAGGAAGAAATGCCTGGGGGGGGGGGGGGGGGGGGTGTGTGCAGACAGGGAGCTTGGGGAGAGCAATCCATCCACTCCAAAATCAGAGACAGGTTTTTATTTAAAATTTATTGTAATGGGGTCCGCGCAAAAGGAGGGGGTGAAGGGTGGGAAACATGCAGGGGACACAGGAACACGATGACATGGCCAGGGCCACAGCTTCTGTCGTGGGGGAGAGGGATGAAAAGAAAAGGCCAGGGCTGGAGCTGGGGTGGAAGAGGGACGGGGGAGACACCGTGACTGCATTCCCCCCACCCCCAGGAAGCACCTCTAGTCCCTGGATCCCCCCATCTACCCTGGCACCCTAAAATTCCATCTCTTGTCCTGCCTCTGGCCCTACTCGCTCCTTCTTTTGCTCCCCTTGACTTGTTTTCCCCTGACAGATTCTCAAGTAGGACGATGTTTAGGGCCTGACCCCAAACCACCCCACCTCATGAAGGTACTACGGTCGCCTTCCCTGCTTCTGCCCCTTCTCCAATCTCACCTTTTCCCCTCTCTGGGACAGAATCTTTGATTCCCCTCCTTCCTCTCCTCCCTCCCCCTGGAAAAAAAAAAAAAAAAAACACCAAAAAAAAAAAAAAAAGAAAAAGGAGGGCCAGTCATCTCAAGGACATTCTCCAAAGAAAACACCCCCCCCCCCCCCGGAAAAAAAAAAAAAAAAAAGCACCAACTCCCCAGGGAGGGGCAGCAGACAGTAGTGGGGGGGTGGTGGAAGGAGGAGAGCAAGGACCATCAAGGAGAAGGCTCACAGATCCCTGGCAGGGCAGGGCGTTACAGAGAGGAGAGGGGGTGAGGGCAGTGCCGCTCCTGTCCTCTGCCGCCCCTGCCCACTGTCCAGGGGGCTTCAACACAACCGAGGGGACAGGTGTGTGTGGGGTCAGGTCTGATAGGGAGAAGAGAGGAGCAGGAGAAACAAATCGTTAAAACCTAGCGAATTCCCCTAAGAAACATCTCTTCCTCCGTTCCTTCTGGAGGCTCCTTGGTCAGTGGGGGAGGAGTGAGGAGTTGGTAGGAAGAGAGAGGGGAAGAGGAGACGGTACCAAGGGACTTTCCTCCATGTTCCACTCTCCCCGCCACCAACCTGGAGCTCACCAGGGCTGGGAGGGAAGTGGCTGAGAGCTCACGGGCACCCCCTCGGCCCCCGAGAGGGAGCCCACAGCTGTGGGGGGGGCTGTCACCACCGCCGCCGCCGCCGCCGCCGCCGCCGCCGCCACCGCCATAGGACAGACCTCACCGGTACCTGCACGGGCGGAAGCACCGGGAGATCACAGCGCAATCCCATCCGCAAGAGCCTCGCCCCTTGCCCCAGACTCCAGACTCGTGCCCAGACTCCCGCCCCTGGGACACAGCCGTTGCTCACTTCCTGTTTGGTCCCCGGAGGCTTCCACCTGCATCCTTTCCCAGTTCTCCTGAAGGGCCCTCCCTGTGCCCAGAAGGCTCCCTAACTTCAGTGGTGGATGGGCATCCCTGGCCTTCCTGAGATCCCCTACTGGGCCCTTTGAGCCCCCTCGTCCCACACACCCCATCCCACCCCCCCCAGCCATGCCCCGCGCCTTGCCTGGTGGGTGCGGGGGTCCCCCTCAGCAGGTGGGCTGTGGCTGGGGGGCGTCTCCCGGGACAGGGGGGGCGGCCCCCCCCAGATGGGTCTGCATGTGGCCGGCCAGCTGGGCAGGGGTCTTGCAGTGCACGCTGCACAGCTTGCACAGGATGCGGTCAGCCCGCGGGGCCTGGAGCCCGTGGTCCTTCACCGCGTGGATGCGCAGGTATGCTGCTGTGGTGAAGCCTATTGGGGGGGGTGGATTGGGATGGGGGGGATGGGGGGGTCAGCCAGGCGGAGACCCCAGAGACGGGGTTGTTCTCCTAGGCTGGGGACGCCCTCCTCAGATGGCCCTGTCCTCCTCCCACCACATCCTTGGTAACCTGGGGCCAACTACTCTGTTGGGGCTGGTGGGGCACAGCCCCTCCCTCAGCTTGGGGCCTGGGTGAGTGGTGTCAGCTTCTCCGCCTTGGTACCCACAGAACCTATTTTCTGTGGCTCGGGAGAACCTCTCCCGGGGTGACAAGACACTGATTTCTAGCCACTTGAAGAGTTGACCCTCAGCAGAGACGGCTGTGTCCCCTCCCTCCAGGGCCCCGGACGGTCTCAGCCCAATGACTCAGAGAATTCATGAAGCTTTCTCCGCTACTGGGGCAGGGCACAGGTTTGTTAATCCCCTGCCAGCGAACTCCGCTTTGCCCCAGGAGCCGAAGAGCACAACGTGTGGCCGCACAGCCGAAACCCTGTCTTCCGACCCTTGGGAACTGGCTCTCTTGACCACTCCTTCCCCAAAGCAGCCCCTTCCCCAGAGCAACCCACCCCCAGAGGCTGACTCTCTTTCTGGTAGCTTATCTTCTCCGGTTAAGACCTCTTAGAACTTAATGAGGTTCAGTCAACCCGACGCTGCTCCATGTGCTTCCTAAAGGGCTCTAGATGCCGTGAGCTCTTAGCTACAGCACCTTTAAGCCTCATCTGTGGAAGGGCCTCTGGCTCCGAGCCCACCCTTCGTCCCTGGCCCTCCCAGCATCCCTCAGCACGTACCTTTGTTGCAGAGCTCACAGACGTGGTGAGGGCCCTGGCTGTGCACCTTCATGTGGTCGGAAATATAAGCCGAGCTCAGCATCTTGCCACACACGTGACATGGCACCTTCTCCTCGTGTCGGACTGTGTGCGCCCGCAGTCGGTCCTTCGTAGCAAAAGCTGCCTCACATTTCTGGGGAGGGGGGAGGGGCGTGGGGGGTGTCAGGAGAGTTAAAGCTTCGGGGAGTGGGGACAGAGGGGCAAGAGGTTAAAGGAATCAGAGCCTTGGGGATCTTTGATCTGTAGGAAATGGGAGTGAGATGACAAGGTCTTGAAGAAGGGATGAGACAATGGAGTGAAAAAGCAAAAAGAAGAGAGAGAAAAAGGGGGTCTGAGAGACTGAACTCAGACAGCTACAATGAGGATCAAAATCATGAAAACCGGGACAGGAAGAGGCGGGCTTCCTACCTCACATTTGAAGGGCCGTTCTGTTGAGTGCACTTGTCTGACGTGACTGTTGAGGTGATCCGGCCTGGGAATACGTAGGGGTTGGGGTTAGGGCCCTGGGGTGTGGACGTGCTCCCCATCGGCTTAATTCTTACTAGCACGCCCGGCCTTTCCTAAGCTGCCTGCACTTTCGCCCAAGCCCCAGGCTCGCGAGTCCCGGTGCGGCAGGAAATCCGTCCCCCTGCCGCCCGGCAGGCCGGTCCTCCTCCCACGCGAAGCCGCCTCCCAGGCGGAGGACCCACCTCCTTGGCTAAGTACCACCCCCTGCTCCCTGGTAACCAGGAGAGGCTTTCCTCCCTCCTCCCGGGGAGTGGCTCCCGGTCCCCAGCCTCAGAAGCCGCCTCCCTCCCCGCCAGCCAAGGCCAGGCCACCTCCGTTGCCGTCCCTCCCTCCCCCCCCGCCCCCCGCCCCGTGGGCGGCCGAGGCCCCGTGCACACCGGGAGAAGCTCTTGCCACAGTGGGAGCAGTTGTAGGGCTTGTGCACAGCGCCGTCATGTGAGCGCACGTGGTAGCTCATGCGGTCCTTGCGCTTGAAGCGCTGCTGGCACACCGGGCACTGGTAGGGCTTCTCGTCCGAGTGCGACAGCTTGTGTCGGTTCAGGTGGTAGACGTCGCGGAAGGCCTTGCCGCACATCTCACAGGCGTGGTTCTTCCGGATGCGCTTTCCCGAGGCGGTCGTGGTCACCACGCCACCCGCGGCCACGGCGGCCGCTCCGCCGCCCGCACCCGCCTCTCCC